TAGAAAGTAAAGCCTCATTTCCAGTTAAAATAAACTTAAAAACGCAAATTGTCGTGCTTGTCGCAATATAGCTGTTCTCTAAAATTTCTATTTAAGATCATGCATTGGAGTACTATGCACTACAGTAAATTAACAATTGCTAATGTAGGAAATCGCCTCGGTAAATTTTTATCTCGAGCAAGATTTTCTAATTAGTCATGCCTACATATAATATATTTCAGTTTTTTTATCAGGTTTATCATTAATTTTTGAAACCTTTCCAATTTAGGAACTAGACTAAGACAGAAAATATTTTTAAAAGCGACCCCCCAGCCACAAGTTACTTCATCACTACAGAGAAGAAATAAACTCGAGAAAAGAGAGCTGTTGAACGCATTACTTCAATTGTTGTAATAAAATTTTGATAAAATGGGCTAGACTTGTTTTTGTTTTCTAATATCGGCTCAAAACCGCGGGATCTCCATTTTGGCTGTGTGCTTGGCCGAGTTTCCCGTAGATCGATTGGCCTATTATTAAAGAAATGGCTTGTGAGGCGACAGCCAGACGACAACATATACCAGGATTTGTCTTTGGGTACCTCCCGCCCCCACCCGCTTTATGGAGTGGACGAATTATTGCATAAATACCATTATTCCAAAAAGACATTTAAACATGTCTGGACCAGCTCCATCCGTACATCTGACGAGGCCCATTGATCACACTGTGCATTTTGATGCCGGTTACGCATGGGGTGGGCACATTGCCGTTTTTGGACGAGTAATTAGGTTCCACCTACACGTATACAACAGTGTAAGACGCACTTCTGAGAGTGGCATGTGTGTACTTTTTCTTCTTTCCTTAAAGGATTCGTCATGACTCGGTGTCTTGGTAACCTGGAGAAGTCCCGGGTTCGTTTCCGGTGTTGGGCGAAATAATTCCTACACTGGATATTCCGGCGTGGTTCCTCTTGTCACTGATGCTAGACGTAGATTCTACACGGGCCACGCCTAGTCCGTGCAGATAAGACAATAAACGCAGACGTAATGCATGTCGGTGATGTAAATTCGTGCAGCAAAGTCTTCCCTGGAGTGCAAATCCGCCTGCCTTTGATTTGCAAACATTGTGAGTGTTATAATTTTAAACAGCAGGAACCTCAACAGGGGCGGCGGGGGGGGGGGGGCGAATAAGTTAAAACAGTGTACATGTATAAACGATTTCAAATCCACTCCAAAGCGGCGCACAGCTGGACGTGGAGTGTATTTGTTTTTACCTGCAATAACTGTGATATATTCATGGAAACAACTAACTAGGAAACAACAGGTAACATGCATGCTTTACTCAAACAGATCTGCGATGTGTAAATCGGGCGTTCTGGGACCTTCGAAGGGGGGTAGCTAGATCAAATTTAAGGCACGTTGGGTGGGGTGGGGGCAGCGCTGGAAAATTTTAGCTTCTGTGGGAATTATGATTACGTCCTGAAGATCTGGGTCCGTATTCAAAGGATATCACTTAACTAATTCCGCTTAAATATACGGAACTTCCTGTAAGTTAAGGGTAAGTGGTATTCAGAGGCAATGTTTAGTATAAGATTTTCCATTTTGAGTGAGAAAAATCCATTTAACTTAAAGTGACCTTGGGAGGTACCTCAAAGAACAATATTGGTGTCAGTCATAGAACTGGTTAAACGCGTTTCAAATATAATTTTAACAAAGCTCATTGCTACTATAGATGCGTAATGAAAGTTTCAACAATCGGAAGTGAAGAACGCGAAAGGAAAACGAGTTATCCCTCTACAACTAACTGAAGTGACGAGCGATAACAGATGGACGGGCGAATTTCTGCTCACTAATTTTTTTTTTTCTAAACAATATTTATTCACAGAAACTGGATTGGAGAACAGGCAAAAGCCTATAGACTCCCTCTCCATAAAAGTACAAACATAAATATATAATGAAAAGTGAAGTAAAGTAAAGTGAACGATTAAATTATAGAATGGCTATATACACGATATGTACAAACCACAATCAGAATGTTTATATTTCATCAATTTACATACGGAATATTCAAAATCTTTGGGAGATGTCGAGGAAGTTATGTACTGCCGAAAAAAATTCTTCAGAATTGTTTCTGTCTTCAGTTCCGAATAATAAATTTTGAGAATTTTGATAAAGTTTTGGAAGTTTTGATATTGTTGCAGATCGTGCTCACTAATAATTTCTTCGAAGACCAAAAGTTGTTATATACTCTTCAAAAAAAGTAGGGGATATTGATATGCAAATACCTATGCAGGTTGTGATATGATAAATAGTCATGGACACTTGACATGCTTTGAGAGTATGTTCACAGATGAAGAACGTATCGCCCCAACAGAACCACCTGCGACGTACAATAGCGCCGTACACGTGGGAGGGGTTCATTGTCAGATTTGACACTTCAAGGAAGGGCTGATGAAAACTGCCGCGTGCTGGTTTATCCTGTCAATGTTTGCTTTCCTATGGGTTCTTGCATAAGATTTACTGTTTAGCGTATCATGGGTATTAGTGTGTTACGTTTAATTTTCAATGAGACGTCTTCAACATGATGAACGTCTAGATACAAGAACACGAGAAAAATAAAAATAGTCCGTGCATTCCCTTGTTTTTATTCATTCTATACTTAATAAAAACATGGTCATGCACGGACTTTTTATATTTTTCTTTCGTGTTCTCTTATCTAGTGACAGTCAATTCTGTTAATGAACTGTCAGATATCCCCTCTCTATATATATATCTCTCTCTCTGGTAAGGGGGTAGGCCGAATGGTTAGTGCGTACGCGTTGTATCATAAGGTCTGTCATTGATTCAACGCGGACGTAAACAGAACCAAGCTACATGGCGTGGTTTCGATTCCCTGGTTGTGCGTGACAAGGAGTAGGGTCGACTGTGCAACATCGTGAGTTTTCTTCGGGTTCTAAGGTTTCCTCCCACTGCTAAAGACCTCTACGCGCAAACAAATTATTGAAATAAAAGTGAATCATATGTTAGTCCCAAAATCAACTAGTTTGTTCGAGTGGACGTTACCCCCCCCCCTCCCTCTCTCTCTCTCTCTCTCTCTCTCATCAAATTCTGAAATGATAATTGAAATTGTGCATGGAAAATTCCACCAGTATGTATGATTCAACGGGGACGTAAACAGAACCAAACTACACGGTTTGGTAACATATTGTTGTGTTAGTTAAAAAAAAATACATGTAAATATATGTAAAACTTTAGACTAAATTCAGTTTGCCATTTTCAAATAATCAATAAATTTATGTAGCAAAATTCATTGCATTCGGACTAGTGTGTGAAATAGCTTAATTTAACGTCCGCTTCCACCGAAGTGATATCGCAGTTTAGATGTCTGGTCCCTTAAAGTACCAGGTCGCTGGAACGAGACGTTCTACCCCACACATAGGCGTACGAGTCAGGGGCCAATCTGTCTATTCGGGCTGACGGGCAAAGTGAAAACAAAAATTGTTATTTCACATAGTTGGCAAAATAAAGTGCCCGAAATCTAATAAAACACTAATTTTACTTTACTTTTAATTAAATACCACGAATTTGTACTAAAGGGAGAGAAAGACTAGAAAGGTGACGGCGTAGAAATATTTTACGGAGTAGAAATATTTTACGGCGTAGAAATATTTGGTGAGCTGTGTCCATATCGACTGAAAGAGAATCAGTTTCGTGCGAGTTATTCCCCCTTGAAATCGAAATCGGATTCAGACCACATGATCGTAACAGACTTTAAACATTATACGTAATCATATAGCTTAAATGACAATATTGGTGTCAGTCATTATTATATATGTGACAGAACTGGTTAAACACATTCCAAATATAATTTTAACACATAGCTCATTGCTACGGGCGATGTGTCACAAACACTTGAATAAAAGGGAAGTGACGACAAAAACGAGTTATCCTTCTATATAACTGACTGAAGTAACGAGCGATAACAGACACACGGGCGAATTTCATTTCACTGATAATTCCGTTGAAGATGGAAAACTGTTATATGAGTACGGTGAGAGGATATATCAGAATTCAAAAATAGAATTGGCTGTCACTAGATAGAGAAAACGAGAAAAATAGAAAAATCCCGTGCATTCCCCTGTTTTTATTCATTCTGCTCTTAATAAAAACATGGTAATGCACGGACTTTTTCTAATTTTTGTTCATTATCTTTTATTTTCTGACAGCCAATTCTTTTTTTTGAATTGTCAGATATCCTCTCACCGTCTCATAAAATAACTTTTCATCGTCAACTGAATTATTAGTGAAATGAAATTCGATCGTGTGTCTGTTATCGCTCATTACTTCAGTCAGTTATATAGAAGGATAGAAGGATAACTCGTGTTTGTCATGTTTGTCGTCACTTCCCGTTTATTCAAGTGTTTGTTACACATCTCCCGTAGCAATGATCTCTGTGTAAAACTTATATTTGGAATGTAGTTAACCAGTTCTATTACATATGTAATACTGACTGACACCGACATTGCCCTTTAATGTTATTTTTGAAATATATTCCACGTTACAGGCGCCTGTGGAATGACAAGACACTGTATATTCTATATACATGTAGATGTGGCAACTTATTCCGTGCAAATCTTCACAACAGCCAATAGTCGACTAGGCATATGGTCTTCTCTTGAGTAACCAATCATTAGTACAGCAAGACCGCGACTATTCATTCACAAATTTGTGGAGTGGGGGGGGGGGGGCGGATATAGAAATTGAGTCTTACTCAGGAGGAACAGAAACGAATTCGCAGCTGAAAGTTTAAAGATGTGTAGGCCGAATGATTTGAATGCACTGGACTCCAATGCTAAACAAAAATTGTTATCTGTGAAATAGATACCTCAAATTAATATGAAGCCTCATGACTCGTTCACATAATCGTCAATGGCCTGTGCATTAGTTTCAGAAGCTTAATTTAAGTAGCAGCTCGTTTTTCGTCTACTGCCAGCTTATTCACAGCAAAATTACAGATTCAGTAAAAACAATGATGATGAAATACTTTATTTGGAAACGATTTTAAACTACATCTATAAGTATATTACTGTTTAAAAAACAAGATATAAGTTGACCCATATTAAACAATATCTTAAATGTGTTGGTATATAAAAAAAAATATTAAATGTGGCAAAAATCTTATAAACATTGTCGACCCTACCCCCACATGTTTGTATGTCGAAAATTTCGAAATGATTTTGGCCCCATTAAAATTACCATAAACTGGTATGTTCCAAGTTTGGAGAAAAAAGAAACTTTAAAATTTGGATGGACCGACAGTCATAATACATGTAGCGTCCCATCCCCCCAATCACATGTTGGTATGTCGAAATTATTTTGACCGATTCAAATTCCCATTGTGGTTATGTTCCAAGTTTAGGAAAATGGAAAATTTAGAATTTTGTTCTGTAATATAAAATATGGGCATATAGAAATATCTAACTATTGTTTAATATAGGCGTATAAAAAAACCTAAATAATGTATAATAATTAGGGAAATACATATCATAATCTCTTATCTATAAGTAAATAATTGATTAAGAGATAATATAATCTATTTGGACTGATGAATTATCAGTTGGCCCACATTAAACAATATTTTAAAATATAAGGGTATAGATAAAAAAATCTCTTCGACCCCGTAACCACCCATACATGTTTGTGTGTCTAAAAATTCGTAATGATTTAGGCCCCATTCAAATTACCATAAAGAGGTATATTCCATGTTTAGGGAAAAGGGAAAATGTAAAATTTGGACTTGTAGCATGACTGACCGACAGGCATAATACATCTACCCCTACCCCCATCACTTTAAGTTGGTATGTCGAAAATTTCGAAATAATTTTGACCTCATTCAATTTCCCGTAACGGTTATGTTCCATGTTTATGAAAATATGGGATTGTCATATTTTACATAATAGTACCGTATATAATATCACTTACCAACAACTTAAACAGTGAGTCATGTTTCTTTCATGGTGATTTGACAAACAAATAAAAGATAGGTTAATTACCAGAAAATGAAACATACATCTTTAGGTGGCATTTAGCGATTGGGGTGTTCTGTTAATAAAACATACACCCACAACAGCCATTCGAATGGTAACTTTAGCCTTTAAAACGTCCACAAGATATTTCAAATGGCCAATTGCAATAACTCCAATGGTCTTTACTGGCAACTATGGATGACGGCTGGACACAGGTGACAACAATATACAACCACATTGAAAAGTGATACAATAATATGTATCAATAAACCACCTTTTTATCCAACATCAGTGCCAGTACTAACTTCTTCAGGGCTGAAGAATTAAATACAAAATGACTGGAAGTCAGCTATGACATCACAGGATCTCATGACTGAAACTTTCTCACATTGAAATTTAGATGTATAAAATGTAAAAACCAATTATGTAATTCGTATCATTTGAAACTTACAATCCAAACATTTTGGATAGGTGAGCATATAAAAAAAGATAGTCTAAAACATCAGAAGGCAAGGCGGTCTTATTGTCTTTCAAATATAATTCATCAACAACTTACATTTATCGCATTGATTAAATATCGAACATGGTGTCAAACTTATTCTTTTCAATTGCATACTAGTGCTTGAATGCTTTGATTAAACATTTAACTCTAAAAATCACTATTTGTGGAAGTAAAAATATTTTACTATACTTTTAATGTAGTATTTTTTTTATTTTTTAAATATTACGCCATGTGTCAGGAGTGGAAAAATATCTGTCAAAATTCAGCTTCATCATCACTATCATCATTCATATTTACTATAGTTTGTCCATCTGAATTTGTATGAATTAATCTCTCCATGGCCGTGGAATCTTCATCTTCATAACCATATTTTTTACGATAAATATAGGATATCACAGCCCCAATTATCACTATTATTAACAAATTGAATCCTGTATGCCATGCAAAATAGCTTGTGATTGACATCATTTGTCTATGGCTTTCTTGATCCCAGGCTACAGCACCAGGTATAGGATTATATAAAATAAAACCAATATGTAAAAACCAGGACCCTTGTACCATTATGGCATAGCTTAATGTCAAGGATGCCAAGATATGATGTTGATATTTCATTTCAGCAAGTGTTGATAATATGCAGACCCCAATAACATACAAAAGCAGCGTGTGCAACAAGACATCCATCTTGGAGCGTCCATGTAGATGAAATTTAAAGAGCACAAATTCCACACTGAAAGACAGTGTGTAACCCACATAATTGAGAAGAGGTGGGAAGCTGGCTTTGTAATAAAGGAGAATTTCAAATACTGCAGTTACTCCGAAAAAGAAAAACATGGTAGCATGCTGCTCATTTCCTGGAGCGTCAAATACACCATTAGGAGATCCTGTGTATATCTCCAGTGAAAATGCAACAGATATGAGGAAAATCTTAAGAACCACTTCAACGGGAAATTCTTTGAGCTTGCCACAACAACAGTCAATTGGGAACCATGTGGAAGTTGTATACATTAAATTGTCCCTTTTGCATTGATAATATCTTCGATATATTTGTATTACATGCCACAAGCCAAAGAACATAAAGAAACTTCCTGGTAAGGCATGTCCTCCAAAGGTTCCCATGTTTTACCAATTTATCTTGTACATTGACTTCAAAGCTCTCTGAAAAAAAAACAACAAAGATCTTTCTACGTACACATATGCTTTTCAGACCACAACAAATTAAAAATATCAGATTTGGGGACAAATGTGAGGATTATGATTGAACTATGACCAGGTCAGTTTGTTTCAAACAAAACCAGCAGTTGCCAGGCAAGATACGCCCACATTTTGCAAGAGATGGATATAGAACAAGCTTCAAACGAAAGCGATTTTTCGTACAATCAGGGGCATAATCCAGAAAATCATAGTTTTTAATGTGCAAATATCGAAAGAGACTGAAATCTTTGGGATATAAAGATGTATTTTAAGTTTCATCAAAATTGGATAAAAATTGTGACCTCTAGAGGGTCCACAACCTTCGTATTGCATACTTTTACATAATTTGCGTACAAAGAGCGGACATTTTGTGGGGCAGTTTCATTTGATTTTCCCAAATTCGAATTCAACATTCATTATGTTGGAATGGCGATATATTTGAACAATTATAGTCTGAAATGAGCAAATATCGAAAGAGACTGAAATCTTTGGGATGTAAAGATGTATTTAAGTTTTATCAAAATTGGATAAAAATTTTGACCGCTAGAAGGTCCTCAGCCTTCGTATTACATACTTTCATACAATTTACATACAAAGAGCGGCCATTTCGTCGGGCAGTGTCGTTTCTATTTTACCGATATTTTAATTCAAGCTTCATTAAGGTGGAATGGCGATATATTTAAACAATTTTTTTAAATCAAATAAAAATTCTCTAGAGAATCCACAAGCTAAAATCATGATTTTTCGTACAATCAGGGACCATAATTCAGGAACTTACAGTTTGATATGTGCGAATATCAAAAGGAACCAAAATCGGATAATTATGGTGGAATGGTGATATATTTTAAAATCGGATACAAATTGTGATCTTTAAAGAGTCCACAAACTAAAAATCGTGATTTTTCGTACAATAAGGGGCCATAATCTAGGAAGTTACAGTATTTTATGCGTGAATATGGAAGGAACCGGGATCTTTGGGCAATAACCTTGCATTTCATTCAAGTTTCATCAAAATCAGATCAAAACTTTGACTTCTAGAGTGTCCACAACCTTGATATACCAAATATTTACACTACTTGCGGACGAGGGGTGGCCATTTTGTCCAGCAGTTTTGGTCCAATTTTCAACCTACATTATGGTGTAATGGTGATATGTTTAAACGGTTTTCAAAATCTGATAAAAATTGTGACTTCTAGAAGGACAAGCAGGTAAAAACGAGATTTTCGTACAATCACGGGCCATAATTCAGGAAGTTATGATCCGATATGCGCGAATTTCAATATGAACCAAGATATTTGGGTTATAAACGTGTAGATCAAGTTTCATCAAAATCAGATGAAAATTCTGACCTCTGACCTAAAAACGTGATTTTCGTACAATTAGGGGCTATAATCCATGAAGTTATCGTCCGATACATGCCTCTATCTCTTCTGGAGATATGACTATATTTCAAGTTTCGTTAAAATCGTATAAAAATACCTGTAGAGTGTCCACAAACAAATTGTGGACCGACGTCCGGACGGACAGGAGCGACGTCAAATGTCCACATGAAACTGTGGGCGTATAGTCCATGTGACAGACCTGGGATTTTGGAACATCATTACCAATTTGATGAATAAATTCAACCATGATTTTCAGTTAGCCTGGTGGCTGAAGTGTTGAAATTTGGTTGATGGACTTCCGGGTTACTTTGCTAAATTGCATTTTGGCGGCCATCTTTAAAGATGGCCGCCGTTATTTCATTGAAATTGTGCCCATCGGGGAAACCTTCATAACTCCTGAAAAGATCGACCTATGGATATGGAATGTGGCTCACAATGTTCACAAGAAAATGCTTCTTCTGGTGCTATATGATACTTGTTGTTGAATGAATCATAAATTTTTCAAATCAACAGATTATTCTGGAAAAAGCAACCTTTTGGCCTTTTTATTTTCCCAGGTTTTCATGATTTATTTTATAAGTTTACTACCAAATCCTGTTCAGAGTAATTTTAGCCAAATTATGTGTGTGGTCTTCTTAAGTTATTCAATTAGCATAAACAAATACGCCCAGTGGTCCTCCCTATACAGCTGCAGTGGCCGCAAACTCAACAAAAGTCGTAAGTAGACTGTCAAATTTAAAATGTTGAACGTCGGCGAGGCAGGGCACAAACTTAGTGAACTTTTAGCTAGTGTGTCGCAATCGAAACGATATTTGGGGACGGGTTGTTTCTATGTCAAAATTTGTCCCTAAAGACAATTTTGAGATTATGTCACTTTTGTGACGTCATTTTCGGTTGGGGTTCTGTCCGATGTCCAAAATGACCGCAAGGGAGCTAAAGATGATCCGAACAATTATAGGCCAATCTCAATTCTCCCCACAATTTCAAAGATATTCGAAAGGCACTTGAGCACTCAAATTCAAACTTATTTGGAAACCTTCAATGTTCTTTATGCTTACCAATCTGGATTTAGATCAAATCATTCATGTGCTACTGCACCGATCCGAATGACAGATAATTGGTTTGATGCTATCGATAATGGTGCGATTAGTGGTACAGTGTATCTTGATTTTAGCAAAGCATTTGATCTCATTGATCATAAGCTTATTATTGAAAAACTACATCTTTATCGATTTGATAATAATTCACAAATTTTGATTGAATCATATCTTGACTCACGGAAGCAAAAAGTATGTTTAGGATCAATTACCTCCTCAATTACTACAGTCAAATGCGGGGTTCCACAAGGGTCGATCCTGGGTCCTCTCCTATTCCTTATTTTTATAAATGATCTCCCACTCAATATTGAATCAAGTCAGATAGATTTGTGTGCTGATGACAGTACCCTGCATTGTTCACACAAAGATATTTAATCCATCGCCAATAATCTCCAAAATTATCTCTATTTGGTTGCTAAATGGTGTGAAAACAATGGGATGGTAATCAATCCTTCGAAAACAAAATCAATGCCGATTTCATCAAAACACAAAAGAAATCAGAAAAACCTAACTTTATCACTCCATGGTGAGAAAATTGAGACGGTTACTACCGCAAAATTACTTGGAATTCAAATTGACCAAGACCTTAATTGGGAAGCACAGATAGCAGATATGTCTAACAAAACTTGCATCAAAAATATTTCTCCTAAATAAGATAAAAGATCATTTACCTTACGAGACAGGAATTTTGTTTTATAACAGTTACATACTACCAATATTTGATTATTGCTCTATTATTTGGGGAAATGCTACCAAAAGTAGATTAGGCATTCTTTTAAAATTACAAAAGAGGGCAGCAAGAACTATTCTTGATGCACCGATTGAAACTCCGTCCACCTCTTTATTTACTAAACTCGGTTGGCTTACCCTTACACAGAGGATTCTTTACAATAAAAGTGTCTTAACATTCAAAATTATTACATTTAATACTCCACTTTATCTAAATTTCTATTCAAAATTATTACATTTAATACTCCACTTTATCTAAATTTCTATTTTATTGAAAAATCTCTTGTTTCCAAAACGGATATCTTGCTCCGTTCACAGACCAGTAAATCTCTTTTTCTTCAAAATTGCAAAACGGAATCCATGAAACGTACTTTTCATTATTCTGCATGTCTTTTATGGAACAATCTGCCTTTTGATATAAAGATGTGTAAAAATGTTGAAAATTTTAAGATTAAACTGAAAAGTCATTTATTTTGCACACTGAAGGAACCATAATATTCAACTGACGACATACTTATTATTTTTAACTTGCAACAGCATTCTATTTTATTTTGTGTGTAATTATAGTGTTCTTCCTATTTTCTACTTGTATAATGTATATGTTTTGAAGTTTGGGAGTGACTTATCAAACTCCCCACTTTAAAATGCTTTTGCATTTCTAATGATTTTAAATTTATCCTGATATTACATGTATATATGTCTTTGTAGCTTAGGAGGGACCTATGGAAGATTAGTTTTTTTGCAAACTAAATACGTTGCCTCAATAAATAAAGTTTTTATTATTATTATTATTATTATTATTATTATTATAGTATCATGCAAGGTAGGGCTTGTGATATATCATGTATAGGGTTTTCGCAGCCACTGAATTTAAAATTGAATTATTTATTGGAATTTTCAATGAAACGGAAAGGTTTGTTCCGCACAGGTATTAGCTTAGAAGGGACAAATACAATTTGTAGAACCAGATATTTGATGTTAGTGAACCCATTTTTTCTAGGACACCTGTTTCACACAAAATCTTATTTTCTATCCAGACGAACCTTCAGTATAATAATCTATATGCATACAAAGTTTATGAAAATACACATTCAAGCAGCATTTAATATGGTCTACCACCTGTAGGACACTCCCTTCAACTTAAAAATAAATTGTTTATTGGAATTTTCGATTAAACGTAAACTTTCTGTAAAATGTAAAATACTCGACTAATATACCAGTTGTAACATGTTTAACATCATATCTTTCCACGCGAATTAACAATAAATTGTTCATTCGATAAAACGGAAACATTTTTTATACTTGTAAAATAAATACCTATTGTGTATATGATACGTTGAAGTCTACCATGTAATACGGAAATTTGCAACACGTTTATAAGCACCATATTTTTCTACATGAACTAACAATAAATTGTCCATTGGATAAAAAGGAGACATTTTTTTATATATATATAACTGTAAAATAATATATGAATTATCGTTTTAACATCATATCTTTTGCCTCCCTTTTCAGGGATGGACACTCAAAAGGAGTATGGTAGTTTCGGGGGTCCCTAAACTAGTCAATGTTCTCGCGTAGGTATGAATTTATGTCGTTTTTGATGAATTATTAAGATATATGCATAAGCTAAAAACACCAGGATATACTCTAGAAAGTACCATTTAAATTACAGTCAGTTTTTTCAAAAGAAATTTCGAGCCTGGTTGTAGAGAACCCCGTCGTTCACCTCACGGAGCAAAGATAAGCCTGTCCTATCCTAGGTATCATATGTGTAATTTTATGTCAACTTCACAATTGTCAGTATAAATATAACATTTACTTGACAATTATCACAATTTTCATCTGGCCTTAAAACATTTTAATTGGATTTGTGTTCCTGGTGTTATAAGCTTTCCAAATATGTATAGTTTGTTTAATAGGGAGGACCTTGTAGCGGAACTGTGTTTCTAAGCAAGCTAAAAATTTTGGTTGCAGGCCTACTAGACTATACGACAAAAGTTGCCGGCATAGAGGCGTTAATGTAAAAACGGACCACATTACCATTTCTGAACGAATAAGAGATCTTAAATTCTTAACAACTGGATATATCATAAATAATTCTCAATACGGCTTAAAATGGTGCAAAGGCATAGTAGATGAAATTAAAATGACTCACTATTTTGGTGAAATGTCTTGTGATCTGTGAGATACAAAATAATCAATTCCATATTATGCCCCATTGTATTGTTTATGGGGTGTGTGGGGGGGGGGGGTCGCATAGGATGTGTCATTTTTAGCAGTATCACTAACATCATTTTCAGCATTACTTTTGAGTTTTTATTCATGTTCAGTGACTCTGAAAACCTTATAAAAGAGACATTATAAGCTATATAAAACAGTCATTCATGTTATGGAAATTCTGACCGCCATTTTGAATTTTCCCCATCTTGGATTTTTAAAACTCTTTGTTTAGATTAAACAAACATTGTGCAAGAGCTAAATCTGCCTATTGCAGGTCTTTCTTTAGGCCTGAAATGTTTTCTAAATTATTATTTAGACATTAATTAACTGACCCAGGCCATAATCAACTCTCGATGGCATCGGATTTCTCCGATATTAAATAAATTAGAACGTATCAGTCATATTTTGATTTAATCTAAAAATAGAGGAGCGAGACTTAGCTTCGAGCAACCAGTACAGTGGTTGAAATTATTGCACGTGTCTTGTCAAACCTTCAAAGGTTAATATCTTCGCTCGCAATAGAGTAATTTGAATGAAATTGTCAAATTATTCATTTTAAATTATCTATTTTCGAACTATTGTAGCAAGAATGGCTAGCTCTTTATCTAAATCTTACGTAATGAATCTTTAATTGTAAGCTCATTGGATAGTACATGTCATATCAAACAATGAAATGACTATTATCTGACATATTGGCCATTTTAGGAAATTTTGTCGCCATTTTGAATTTCCGCCATCTTGGATCTGGGACACTCATATTTGAGATTATTTTTTATGATCAATGTTTCTGATATCTATTCAATCACTTAAGTTGACCAAACAGATAATTTGGCTTATATGGGTCTGAACACGATTTGTTAGTAAACATACGAACAGACATGAAAAAAAAAATCGAAAATGTTGCTTTTTTCAGATTAATCTTTTATTTTAAAACTGATAGTATTGATTAAACAACATATATCATATACCAGCAGATGCAGAATTATATTATGAACATTTTGAGATATATTACATATCCATATAGGTGAAACTGTTGAGGAGTTATGAAGGCTTCCCCGACTCGCACTATTTCAAATAAGAAAAAAAACGGCGGCCATTTTTTTTAAAGATGGCCGCCAAACTGACATTTGGCAAAGTGACCCGGAAGTCCATCAACCAATTTTGGACACTTTAGACCTAAGGCTAACTGAAAATCATAGTTAAACCAATTCATCAAATTGGTAATGAATATCTGCCTGTCACATGGACTAGTATAAAAACCTAAAGGAAACATGAATTATTCATACCTAAAGCCACATAATGTAGTCAATTCAAATCCATCACGTACAAAAGGGAACACAGTCAAAATTAAACTGCACCAATAGATAGATAGGCCTACATGTATCACCCACACTATACACTTTACTCATATTATAATTATAGCAAGCACGTGATATTAAGGTGAATATATGGGACAAGAGCATTAAATCTATGAGTTTTATGACACCAGACCTAAGGCTAACTGAAAATCATAGTTAAACCAATTCATCAAATTGGTAATGAATATCTGCCTGTCACATGGACTAGTATAAAAACCTAAAGGAAACATGAATTATTCATACCTAAAGCCACATAATGTAGTCAATTCAAATCCATCACGTACAAAAGGGAACACAGTCAAAATTAAACTGCACCAATAGATAGATAGGCCTACATGTATCTCCCACACTATACACTTTACTCATATTATAATTATAGCAAGCACGTGATATTAAGGTGAATATATGGGACAAGAGCATTAAATCTATGAGTTTTATGACACCAGTACGGAAGACCATTAGGGTCAATCAAATTACAAGGTAACCATTTTATATAACTATCTTGTAATTACAAGATAGGTTATATTAGGCTATCTTGTAATTACTAGATACGGAGTAGCCCATTAGGGTCAATCACATGAAAAAAAAGTGTTCTAACCAGTTTATTTCAAGGTCGCCCTACACTGATGTATCGGATAGCTAGGCAAACGAAGTACTTTTTTATGTTACGGGATCGGCACATTCAGGTCATGCTCCCATTAATATCATTAGCTATTTCGTGCCCTCATTAAAAACCATTCATTAAGTTCATACTCTCATTAACTTCATAATCCCACCAACTTCATACTCTCATTGATATCATTTATTAATGATTCATTGATTTCATGCTCTCCTTAAAGATACTTTCCCGCGTACAAACTATGTGATATGATGATATATTTGGACTAAAAACATATTCAAACTAATTAATCTATAAAAAATTTGCTTCAAATCCATAGAGTTATATATAGAAACTAGAGTCCGCACTGATCACGTGACCCCCATGACTACAACTTTAAAGGTTTGTGCCGGGATGGAGCGACGGCCGCCATGTTAGTTCCGGGGAGTATGAACGTAAATACCCGGATGTTCACTATGTTATCGCATCAATCAATCTGTGTCAAACTGTTTTAAAATGTGCACAAATATTAAATTTTTAAATTTTCTAACCCAAATTTTTATTGTTTAATAAAAATAATAATAAAGATCCATGGACCGACTAATCTCCGGGCTCCACTTTCCACAGTAAAGGTTATAGAACATTTTAATTTGACATGTCAGCGATCTCGACCGTAGTTTCTCTACGTCTACCTACTTGTACTTACCTTCGCTTTCTCTTTTAATTTTTTATTAAAATATCGATCTTTTAAATTAGTGCAATGTACACAATAATTATTCCTATACAGTAAATTTGTTAAATTGTTTTAGAAATTTATGGAACTAATTTATAAAGAGTGTAGAGAAATGAATGGGGTTTTTTAACAATAAAAGTGAACAGAAATCAATAGCCCGCAGAATTATATGTAGCCTACCGGTATTTTTATTTATTTGTTAATTATTTTATTTTAGGGAATTAGGGAATGAAAAGTGAAGAAAAATAATAGCCTGCGTAAAATGTTGTATTTCTATTTACCGGTATTTATTTATTTGTTAATTATTTTTAGAAATTGTGGAACTGAAAAAGTGAAGAGAAATTAATGGCCTGTAGAGAAATGAATAGTTTTAGAACAACAACAACAATAAAGGAAATATGTTTATGAAATGAAATGGGGTTTAACGTCCACTCGACACAAACTAGGTCATTTTGGGACTAACATATGAAATATGGTGGGCAATTCTGCGCTAAAGTAATACAATTAGGTGAAAAATTTAATTAGTTGATAAGTGGACAAAAATAGTGTCTTATGGTGGGAAATAATCCATATTTTGAAGGAAAATCTCAATTTGGGTGGAGACTCTTCCATTTTTTTTTATTTGGTCTTGTGTCAAGGTTTACGTTGTAAATGTCGAATTTATAATTCTATTGTATTTTCTTACTTTGTGTTTGTTTGATTATTCTGGCTCATAATGAATGATTTGGCATTAGTTAATTATCTGAATATGTATATAAACATAATATTTAAACATTAAAATATAAAAATAATATATTTTTGTGAAGGTAACCAACATTGAAAAATATCACTATGAGAATGTACGTCCGTTACCAAATATTTACATTTTTTTTTCTCTCATTCATATTTTTATATGGAATTATTTAAAACTTCATATCTAAAGCTATAATAACCCATTCTTACTATAATAACTGTAAAAAGAAAAGATTTGCAAAAATTCTCAGAATAACTTGGGTTTTCATAGATGTACGTCCGTTACTTTTCACAGTATTTCATGTTACCAAATATTTCCATTTTATCTCTCTGATTCATATTTATTTATGGAACTGTTCAAACACTCATATTTATTAAAAGCTAATAACATCACTCATTCTTGTTACTATGACCGTAAAAAGAAATCATTTGCCACAATTCTCTGAATTACTTAGGGTTTCATAGATGTATGTACGTCCGTTACCAAAATTTTAGGGTCACAATATTTCATTCAAGGAGTAATGTTTTTAGGAAAGTAACTGCTCCATTAATTCAAATGAGTTAACTATTATTATTATCTATAAGTCCGATTATTTGTAAGTTTGCATATCTAATGTAATGGGTTACATCCGTTACCAGAAAATATGTACGCCCGTTACCACAATAATTTCTAATTTACTGGGTTACAAGAATCCAAATGTGAGAAGTGATTATGCAGTACACATGTAGTATTAGTGCCCTTTCTTAAAAGGATTAAAACTTTTAAATTCCACAAGACAATTCACAGAGTTTTGAAACTATGTTCATGCAGGCAAATCATGGTGACTGTTTATTTCTGTATGTCCGTTACCTATACTTTGAAGGGCCAATATTTATTTCCAGTGTTCATGAACAAATTAAATTATATGTCAATTGATACTGAAATCATATGTCTTTAATGCTATATAAAACTCAAACAGTTAATTATTCATGGTTAGAAAATATTGGAAGTAATAAAAATATGGCGAGTTCACAATGTACGTCCGTTACCGTGGAATTGCCCTGGTTTAATTTTTTTATTTCAATAATTCGCTTGCGCGTAGGGGTCTTTAGCAGTGAGAGTAAACCGGAGGACCTGGAGAAAACCCACCGGGGAATCGAAACCCCGCCAGTTGACTCTATGACACATAGGCCTACGAGTTAGAAGATATGGTGGCTGTATAATTTAATATTATATTTTTTTTAAAAAAAGGTGTTAAATGTGTCAAATTGTGTGTGTGTGCGGGGGCGGGGGGTGTAGGCGCCCAGGGCCTAGTTGTGTGAGGTTGACTCAACCGTTGAGTAATGAGTGTGTTTGTTTTCGGGGAGCATTGCAGAGACATCGTCTCGTTCGGATGGGACGAAAAACCGAGGTCCCGTGTAGGCCTACACCTTGGCGTGCACGTAAAGAACCCTTGCCAGTTGGAATTCAATTGCTGTCCGGGCAAAATTCCCCTTAGAGCACACTGTATGGTGTATGACCGTCTTCATTATCCCGCTAGGACGTTAAACCCCATTTCATTCTTCATTAATCATTAGGCTAATTTGTTTGTTTTCGCTTGTTCAGCTGAACTTGTTTGTGTGTAGAAAAATATTATGACATGAAAATTTATTATATATCTTAAGTTTCTTATAAAGATTTAGTAGTAAAAAAGGGTTTATTTTATTTTAAAATGACTTTTAGATTAGGTCTTCACATCAAATTAATGACATTAATTCGATTGTTATTGAGTATTGACGTTTACATTGGAATGAGCTTGACCCTAACCCAGTGCTAGAAGTAGAAGAATGGACCGATTTTTGATAGGTACAGTTGATAAATCAATCTAACCTGTGAAACGCTATTCCACTACCCCTTTTTCGGGTGTTTGAGCAGCCAAAACAGCAGCAACTTTCTGGCATATTGATTATAAAACACGATTTAAAAGATCTAATGGTCGTCAGCGTCAACTCCCCGGAACTAACATGGCGGACAAGGCCCCATGTCAGCACGCTGTCACGTGATCAGTGCGGACTCTAGTTTCTATATATATAGCTTTATGTTCAAATCCCTCTCAAAACTTTGTATTCGTCGGGAGATACCGCAAGCTATAAATAAACTGTTGTTAGACGCCGTGTCCATTTTTCAGAATGTATATTCGTTACTTACTGTCCATTTATCGTACATATTGAGACCTAAGTAAATTCTTAATTATTTTCTGTCAACTACTTTTTCCGTTCACACCCCTCAATGTTCCCCAAACCGCCTAACCATTTGAAAAAGAAATAACAACCGCTCCCCCAGTCAAGCTAGCACACAATAAGCTAATCAATGATGTTCGGTGAATTACAGTTCAAATTGAACGGCAGTCGTTTACGCCTGCTTAGTGCATTCTACACGTTTTTTTAAATTATTATTTTGTCGTTTGTGAATCAGCCTTTACTAATTACTTCCACATTATGTTGTAGGATATGTTTTTATACGCCCACATTTTCATGTGGACGTATTATGCCGTCGCCCCTGTCCATCCGTTTGTGGACTCTCTACAGCTCACAATTCTTATCCGATTTCGACGAAACTTGAAATATAGGTTTATCCCCAAAAGATCTCGGCTGCTTTCGATATTGGCATGTATCGGATCGAAACTGCATGGATTATGGCCCCTGTTTTTACGAAAAATCACGTTTTTAGCTTGTGGACCCTATAGAGGTCACAATTTTTATCTGATTTTGTTGAAACTTGAAATGTAAGTTTATAACCCAAAGATCTCAGTTCCTTTCGATATTTGCGCATATCGGACAGTAACTTTCTGAATTATGGCCCCTGATTGTACGAAAAATCACGTTTTTAGCTTGTGGACCCTATAGAAGTCATAATTTTATCCGATTTAAAAAACCGTTCTATTATATCACCGTTACACACTAAGGATGACTGAGTTTGAATTTCGTGAAAATCGGCCCAAAATTGACAGACAAAATGG